CCTTACCTGGAGGCCACTGATACCCTGAAACATAAAGTACTACCATAGCTCTTTGCCTCCTGGTTTCTGCCCCAGTGGTAATGCTTACAAACCCTGTGCTACTCACTTACAGGCAAAAGCCCCCCTTTTTCCTCTGTCTGCTGTAGCCCCTGGCACTGATCCCATCATCCTTGAGTTTCATGGAGGCATCCACATAAACAGTTTTGCAAGATCATGCCGTGTGTAATCAGTGATGGAAACTGCTTGCTCTTCTAACAGCATGAGTTTGGATAAGCGTTGAGTAATGATCATTCACTTAAAACATCCTACTGCTCCTCATCCTGTCATAGCCTCCGTGTTGAGAGTTGTATTTAATAATCTAGCCTCTCTTCTGCTCCTGCTTTAATCTTTGCTCAAAAATGGGAGCCTCTTCTGATAACTTTGAAATTACAGAAATTACCCAAGTATTACATCCATTTTTCATCATTCTCTCCCTTTTGGGAGAGAGGGAAGTAGCTGGTAAAGTTGGACTTTGCCCTTGAAGATAAAGATGAGCTCGTTAATAAGCTGAAGCCTTAAAGGCACTTCCTGAAAGCAGTCATTTTCTGAGCCTTCTGGGGTTGCTCAACAGCAAAGTGAGGGGAGGAAGATAAGAGGTTGATTGTAGTGGGTTTTTTGGAGTATACAGAGGCCATGCAGTTGTAAAGCTGCACATTTCATCAAATAATCATTTCCTTGATATATGATCATTATTAAATACAAGCATAATGACTCCAATAAAACAATTGAGTCTCTTTCCTCCAATCTTTTCCTGTTGTCCCTCTGCAATGCTGAATGACAAGCAACCATTGAAAGAAAATAATTTATGCCTTTATAGCGGACTCGTAGTGTTGTGGTCCACAGGCTTTTGTTTAATTATCTTACATGAAGAAAATGTTGGTCTTTTGCAGACTTAGGCAGGAGTAAGGTTAGACAGACTTAGGCAGGGAAGGTGGGAGCGAAAGCACGTTTTGCCTTGCAGAGTTGGCTCTTACTTATAAGAAATAAGGCTGATGTTATCACCCACTTTCTAATCAAACTTGACAAGAGCATTTTGTTAAGCCACTTTCTCTGAGTGGGAATTCTGGTGAATAAGGCTCTCATCTCCAGTTTCTAAGTATCACTTTACACTGTTCCCAAGCATTGTTTGCCTTAATGGATGAATTATTGTAGTATGTCAGAGAAGCAGATAATTCACAGCCTCATTTTATAAACGGAGAGCCCAAGGCACAGTACTTTAACTTGCATAGCTGCAGAGCAGTGAATGGAGCCCAGGTCACTCGTGCTTTGATGAAAACTTTGCCAGCGTGGCCTCAGTAGTGCTCTTCAGGAAATTACAGCTACTGGAGGATGTCAAGACTTTTTGCCAGGGACCTGCTTGTACATAAAGTGGAGACAGCACTTTCGGCATGCTCCTGCTGCACTTCTCTTTCAGATGCTGTTTTCCCAGCACATCTGTGGGTTGATAGCTCTGAAAAAGGAGTTATCTCCACTTGATCTTCTTGGTCACTTACAGAGCTTGTCTTTTTGAAAAGCTAAACCATAAATTAATTTGGAAGCTGAAGCAGGTCTTTTGTGACTGTGGTGTAGCCCAGTGCAGTAAACTTCTTAGCAGCTGTTGAATGCTCAGCTGCGTCGCTAATACCAGGGCTAGCACACAAATTAGTGTCCCTTGCAAGGTCCCTCTCTGTTTGCAGCCTGTGCATGTTGGCTGCCCGCTCCTTCTGTGAGTGAATACTGCTCTAACATCAAACATTGATTTGTGTAAAGCATGTGCTACTCTTGCTTACTCTCTGGTTGAGATTGGGTACAAGAAGCAAATCCAAACTGCCATTCTTTTTTACATTTGGACATTTCTAAACCACTGCAGTGCTACAGAATGGTTCCATTCTGCCAGTTTGTGTAGCCAGCTGATGCTAGGCCCTTGGAAACAGGAGCATCAGGGCAGTTCTGCTGGTGGGAACTAGTCTTGCAGAAACGTGCCAGCAGTTAGATAAGCCCTTTGCACCACTCGTGTTCCTGGAAGGACCACTGAATATGCTGGTAATAGCCGTGGTGCTCCAATTGGGGTGTTGAGAGGCCTGTATTTAATTTTTTTTTTACTTTCTCAGGAAGCATGTTGGTTCTTCACATATAATATAGTTGGGAACGTGGGGGTAAAGCTCAATTTAACTCTGGTGCTGTTGGAGTACTTAATACATTGAGGAGGAGCAGTGGGATTCAGGTGTGGGAGGAGGTTGGCTGGTACTGTCCTTCGGTCTGGTGGCAGATTTTTAACAAGGGACTGCTGAGGCAGCCCCAAAGTGCAGATTGTTTGGGCATATCTGAGAAGGTGATTCTTTCTGAAATGCTGCTGCTGCTGTTTTAGCATCCAGGAGCTCTGCAGGAGGTGTATCTGTACCTCTGTGGGCTGTCTCACCTGAGCAGGTATGGAGGGACGCTTGGACACGAGTCCTGCCTCTGCTGAGCAAGTGGATGCCAAAATTAAAAAGCCCCTTGTCCCTTGCAAAGATTCTCGCCCCTACACTTATTTAGATGCCAGTAACATCAGCATTTAAATGGGAACTGGAAATGCACAGGGACTTTATTGTAGCAGCGTGCGTTGAACTTGGCCGGTTCCCCTTTTGGTGGGGCAGAAGCTGCCGGCTGAGAGCGGCTTCTGGTGGGTGTCTGCCACACACACCACACGTCCAGCAGCTGCCAGGGTGTGAGGAGGTGACTTTGGGGAATAAGCCAAAGCTCACTCCTGCCTGTGTCCCACTGCACTGTCAGCCCTGCGGCAGTAGGCTGTGGGGAACGCTTTAAATGGTCCTACAGCAAGAGGAGCAGAAAGGGCTGCTGGAAGGACTCTATAGGGGGTGTGCAGTTTACTGATTGTAGAGAGTTATGATTTTGCAGAAGAACAGGAGTCCTTTCTTGTCATAGCCATTTGGAGCTATCATCTTCCACAGTGCTTCATTTTTAGGCAGGTTGAGTTTATAATTTAAGCATTGTTCAGGAGGGACTTAGGCTCTTTAGTTTAGCTCTTAGGGCTAAGCATCACCTTTCCCAAAAAATGGTGGCAAAAGCTACTGGTTTGGGAGTTCAGATCACCTCCCTGACCCTCACCAGCACTATCTGACTCCCTGCACACCTCAGCATGGACACTAAAAAGGAGCCTCAGTAGCCCAAACCTACTCCCCCCAGCGCTCCCCAGGTCCCTGCTAACCAAGCTGAGGTGCTGGCTCAGCTTTCCCAGACTTTCCAGCAGTACCCTACTTTCCCCTTCCTGAGCAGGCTCCTAAACCCATCTTCTGCAGAACCTTGTATCCAGAAGGGGCATTAAAGACTTACCAACATCAATTTTCCCCCTTTCCCTTCACTTTGTTAGATCAGTCTTTATTCACATAATAAAATTAATGCTGCCATGCTCTTGTAAACACTTATGGATAACATGAAGTTTTAAAAGATGGGAAGAACCAGTGAGCCACTCATCCCCAGCCACCTAGCGTTCCAGGCTTTTTTTTTTTTTTTGTGGTTTTTTTTTTTTTTTTTTTTTTTTTGTTTTTTTGTTTGTTTGTTTTTTTTTTTAAAACAAGCACAATTACCAATATATAGATTTAACTTTGTGTGGCTGTTTTGCTGACCTTGCCGATCCATCTGTACTATGTGGTCAGGGCAGATATTTATATTTTGGCTATTGGGGTTTCAGTTAAAATTTGGTTATCTTGCAATTTAATATTAATAGTAACTGACCCTTGTTTCCTAGTCTCCAAAACACATGGTGCCTTATTTCCTATTTATTGTTCTGCACTGACTCTTCCTTTTTTCCTGTAATGGGCTTAGGAAAGTAATGTCACAACCACTGGCAATCCTTAATACTCCAGTATGAAGGGAATTTTTCAACCTGGAAAACCTGCCTCTTGCTTAAACAGGGTTGGAAAGTGCTCTGCCAACGGCCATGGAAGTTTCTGGTTAATTTCTTCCATCTCTGCCCTTGGAGCTGTGTTGTGTTAGCTCTGAGTTACTTTTATTTGGCAGTGGCTCCAGAGGAAAATGCCTGGGTTTGGGACAGAGATCCGCCTTTTGTTGTGGACATTGTTCTGTTCCTCCAGTTGCTTTCTCTCCATTATGCTTTTCCCCATCTTCTGTATTGCTTTCTGAGCTACCCGAGGCTGTGGCAGCTCGTGCAGTTGCAGCAGGACAGGAGATGGGTCGGGCTCCAGGCTGGAGTCCGTATGCTTTTCCCAGCCACCCGCGTGCAGCAAGGCTGCAGCTCTTCAGTGGTACCAAATAATATGATTTCAAAAGCTCCTTATGAAAACATGAGTAATTGGGCAAGTGACAAAGGACTTTCTGTTTATCTTTTTGAACAATGGAAAATACCAAATAGCCACAATTTGTTCCAGTTATTTAGTGTCTTTGTTTCAGAGCCATTTTGTGGGCACTGGGTTTAATTCTGCAAGAATGCAGGAAGATGGTGACTTGTTTTCATGCTTAAAAAAATAAATAAAATTATTCAAATTTTCAAGTTTCTTTACTAGGAAAATACATTTTACTTGTGCAATACCATTTTTAAAACCTAAAGGAAGATATTTTACTCTATATTACAAGTCTAAGGTTATTTTAATAATGAAACAAGACTTCCAAATAGATACTGATAACTTCACCATTCCAGAGAACACTACAGTTTGGAAAAGCTTTGTGCAAAGGTTGATGTTGGTAGTAGATTTGACTTGCAAATAAGAACTAAGCAATTATCAAAAATAACACTAACCAAAACAAAATTACATCGAAATTTAATAGGCTGATCAAAGTCGGTAATGCTGATAAAAGTGTAAAATGGAGGAACGTGTGCTTTTGAAAGGGAAAACTTTGGAGGAGGAATACATACAAAAAAAATTACCCTTGCTGTCATAGAGTTATCGGAACCGGAGACGAGGGTCTAGAGCACGTAGTGCCACCTCCTGGCAATGTCATGGAAAATACCTGTGTGGTCTGAGATGGACCTGGGAAACATTGGTGGTAGGTGCCACTGATGTATGAGGCAATGCGTAGCATTAGTTACATATTCTGGAGGAGCAAAATCTTTTTGAGGCATTGAGCCTAAAGAATCAGGGATGAGAAGTTGAATCCAATTGTCTAGATTTATTTCCAAAATGTGGACATAAACTGTCTACAGATACCCCACTTACTTGCCAGCTTTGCTTCTTGTCTCTTGACATCTCAAGCCCTTTTTTTTTAACTCTTCTGACACAGAATTAGGCCTCATAGCACATAAAGCTGCTGAGAAGTTGCATTTTAATCATATTTAATTGTTCAGTCCTGGTTTCTGGATGAACAAAAATTAATCTCCCATGGTGGAATATATCCCTGAGGTTTGCCTGGTTAATAGCCTGGTCAATTCTACAGTTATTATGAATCTCTTTTACAGTTGCTCTGGAAGATTTGGTGTCTGCCTTCAGGTTGGCATGCTTCTGCACCACAGGCAGGACTCTCGTCAGGGGCCTCATCTTCCTTGTGTTTTGTTTTTCAGGCGGCACCAGAGAGATTGGGTCTGCTCTCACCAGGATGTGTATGAGGCACAGAAGTATAGAGTCCAAACTCCGGCAGTTCTCAAGGTGAGTGGCTCTGGACCTGGCCTGGAGCTCAAGGTTTGTCTTCCGTTTGCTACTGGGGAACACCTAAAGCTGCTCATGAGCATTGGGTTTTCACCTCGTCTGTGACCATGTCACTGAACACAGCAGTTGTTTTCTTCTGCAGCACACTGGGTGTTGTGAACATGCAAGATTTCACTGCCATGTTCTGGGGACTGGGCTTCTCACTTCAAATCACTTTAAATGCTGCAAATTTACTCCATTGATTCCTGTTGCTCAGTGCTGAGCAGGTGGCTGCTGCTGAGACCAACCTGTCTTTGTTTCAGAACTTTAAGCTTTTTTGCTAAGTTTTAAAGCAACAGCAAGTGTTGTGCTGCTTCCTCAGATTACTGGTGAGCCCAAATAGCTTGCACCCAAGAAAAAAAATAGAGGAAAAAAAAATATGGAAAAGGCAAATTCTCTCATCTCCTTTTTTGTAGTTAAAGTTAGGCTGTAGAGGTAATGGGAGAAGATTAACTCCTGTGTAAGATGGGCTATACATAAATAACGTAGTTCTGCAGTAAGTAGTAGTTTGCATGGGTGCCATTTTAACCAGACTTAAAAATTATACTTGACCTGAGGTGAGCCAAAGTGATGGCTCTCCATTTTAGTTCATCCAGGCTGGACAGGGCCTTGCACAACCAGGTCTAATGGGAGGTGTCCCTGCCCATGGCAGGGGGGCTAGAACGAGATGGTCTTTAAGGTCCCTGCCAACCCAAACCATTCTATGTTTCTGTGATTTGCCTGATGACCTGGCATGTTTTTTTCCCTTTTAAAATAAAGATATTTATTAAATTGACTGTGAGGAGACAACTTTCATCTCTAGTTACTCCAGGATTAGCTGTTTAAATGGTGCAATCCCAATCTTATTAATTAGTGGAGTGTTAACTAGTGCTGCATCAAGCAGTCCACTGGTGAGAGGTGAGGCACGTCAGTGTACAGGATGCTGTTTGCTTGTACAACTGCTCTGTCTTCTTGTGCATCCATGTGTTATTTAAGTTTAAAATCTTCATGGCTCCATGAACCTTTCTGGTCTCTGGAGTATCCATTTAAATTTCCCTTTTTGTGACAGATGAGTAGGATCTAACTGTTTATGTTGGCCCTGTTTTGGGTCACTGCTCTGTATTACACACTGTTCCTCACTGTCCTGAACTTCTGCACAGTAATTCTGGTTATCTTGTGATGTGGATTTTGTTTCAATCCAGTCCTTTCTTTTGCTTTCTCCAGCGTAAACATTTTTATGTTCTGATATTTACATTGTGACACTGGTAGCTGTCGCAGCAAAAAGTAAAAATACTCCAATATTGACCTTGGCTCTATATAAGAATAGGGGCATCTGCAGGATTTGATTGCTCTTTGTGTTTTTTCAACAAAATTAGTGCTTTAATTGACTGTCTGATAAACCCACTTCAAGAACAGATGGAAGAGTGGAAGAAAGTGGCCAATCAACTGGATAAAGACCATGCAAAAGGTAGTTATAGAGGAAGAATTCTTTAATAGGAGTAAGATTGTAATATCAGCTTTTCTTCCTCGTTTCATGTTTGTGCTGGGGAACTGAATGACGCACTAAAATATGTATAGCAGCTTTTCTTTTCTAAAGCACTCCTCTCTCTAGTGCCTAACAAACTTTTAACCCTTGCATATCTATTTTGAAGGTTTAGTTTGCAGGACCCCAAGGGATGGGTTGTTTTTCTAGACTGGTAAGCAGTGACTAGTTTTAACTCTGTGAGCTCACTCTCACTGTATGATCTCCAATAGTGCTGAAGAGTAGGATGCTGCATCAATCCCTGCAAAGCCCCAGGGTGGAGTTAAAAGCTAACTTTAAGATCATGTTATGTCTCAGACATAGTGTCCTCCAGAGAGTGCACAGCCCTGTAAAACATTCAGTGTCATTATTCTATACCTGATGTGTTAGAGGAATGTGCACCTGGGGAATGGGGAAGCTGATGTTGGATGTGGGGTGCTCGGAGCTGCGGTGCTGATGGTGGCCAGAGGCTTTCCTGGGGGAATGAGGAGGAGGCAGCAAAGTCTTGCACAGCAAAAGTGTGTTGATAGATGCCTTTGGCTTTGCAAAAATTGTACAGGGAATGATTTCCCTTTAGCATAGGTGCTGAAAGCAGGCTGTAGTTCACCACTAACCCTTGAAAACTGAAGATTTCAGACACATCATCACCATAACTTACTTCATGATAGGAAGGGATGTGCTTGGCCTCCAGAAACGTTGTTGTTTCTTGCCCCACTATTCCTGTGGTCGAATAGAGGCAGCTAGATCAGCAGCTCCTGAAAAATTTTCCACCTTGTGCTGCAGAGTGTTAAGCAAGTAGTGAGCAGCAGGGAGGAATCACCTGGGTTCCTGCAGATAGGGCTGACCCTGGCCAAAGCAGCAGTGAGATTCAGGGTTTAGTGGGTAGACTTGGGTGTTGGGGGTACAGTTGGCACTGGTACAGTTCTTGTGCCCACCTCCAACCTGCTTCTGTTTTTCCATCCCTAGAAGAGCAGTAACACTGATCACCTAGGTTAATGTGTATGTGTATATGTATATGCATGCATATGTGCCTTTTATCTTCTGTTTTTTTTTAAACTATCAGTTTTCATATCAGGTACCTTTAGTGGGCCTGGACTTGAATATTTTATTTTGGTATTTTAATTCTCCCTGGGATTTGCAGCTCATCTGAAAATGAGGACAACTGCAGTGTGCTCCACTTCATCAGAAAGAGCTGGCAATGTGACCCTTCCTTGGGCAAAGTTTTAGCACTCTTACCTGACTCTCATGCTGGAGAGGGATCACAGGATATTCTCTGCCTTGCCATTTCTGGATGCTTGTTTTTGAACACAGATGTTTTGAGAAACTTATCATCTCTGTTTTCCATTCCTGAGAGTGGATGAGTCTCTGAAATGAAAAGCACTCTAATTTTGTACTATGTTCTCAGTTGTTATTTCTGTAAAGGCTTTGTTTGTTTGGGAAAGATTTTGGTATGTGAATGTGCTCACACCCTAAAATGTTATATTAAGCCAAACATATAGGCACTACAAAATATGAGTTCTAAGTCACTTTGATTAATAGTAGCTGTCCTCTTGAAATTTGTAGTCTGGTGCCTTTAAAAATAGTCTTTTCTGTGAAAAACATCCATTTTGACATTGTGTCTGTTGATAATAGAGACTGTGTTTTTTTAGAATACAAAAAAGCCCGCCAAGAGATAAAAAAGAAATCGTCTGACACATTGAAGCTACAGAAGAAAGCAAAGAAAGGTAACTTGCTTCAGGCTTCTACTGTTAAAAACCTTTTGTTCTGTGCTCATTGACAATGATTGAACAGTGATAGGACTTTCTATAGTAATAATTCGATCCCCTGTAATGTATTCCTGGTTCGTACTTGAACACCAGAGTGCAATTAGTGTGTCATTTAAATCATATTCTGAAGCTGCTATCTAATGTTCTTGTACAAAAGCCTTAAAACTGTTTGTACAATGTCAATCATGTTTTAAAATAGAGTGCTTGCTCCTGACTTATTCCTGTTAGGAACGCTGACATTGTAACATGACTTGTGCAGATACCTGTAAAATTTTCTAGAATCTTTTGGAATAATATATTAAAAAAAAGTAAATGTTCTGTAACTATTAACTTCTTTATTAATTATTTCTCACTGTTCTCCATTTCTACCACCTTTCTTCTTTTTTTCTTAACAGCCTTTAATCTCATAAACTTTACATTATTCCTCAGAGTGTGAGAAGGTGGCATCGGTTATTGTCAGGGGGAGGGCAACCATAAAAAATTAAAGATGAGTAAGAAAAGAAGGGAGTTCTCCAAAAAGGCAGTCTATCTTTCTTAGCAGCTGAATTTTGTGCTCCTTTTGCCCCCCTACCACCATCTTGTCACAGAAGTTTCATCATCATGTTGATGGAAAGGTGCATCACTGATAGCTGCAGGATTGCTGTCACTAAGGCTTTTATTTGGCCAAGTGCAAACCCCAAGCTTTGGAGAAGTGATTTGGACCTTGCACAGAAGCAGACTCTGGTTCCCTTTCCTGGCATGGGGCTCTCCCCAGCCAGGTAAGGAGTGTGCTTTGAGCAGCTCTCAGCCTGCAGGTTGCAGCTTGTGCTTCACCTCCTGCCTAAAAACTGTGAGCCCCTGGACAAGCAAAATAAATGCTGGGGTGGGGAGTTTCATGAACTTTTAAATTGTGTAAATGTTATCCGAAACAGGTGAGCAGTCTCTAACTGTCCTTCCTAATAATTGAGTCAATAATTATGCTGCTAGAAAGCCACATGACTGGAAAACTGCTCTTGAATTTTAGCTGAGGCATGTGGGAGGGAGCTTAGCTCAGTAGTCTTTGTGTGTCTGTCTGTCCATGGAAGAGATTAGTAATCAGAATGGTCATCTTTAGGAAGACAGTTTTTTTAAGGATAAGACTTTTCTTTTTGAGTGATGTGTAAACATGTTTCTCATGTTGTGTGATGAATTATCTGACTTCAGACCAACAGCTCTAGACAGTCTGTGATATTCCCTCCATTTCTTTTCCTCTCTTCCCACCTTCTCTGGTCTCATCACATCTTGTCCCTGTGTGATACAAACGTTCATGGTAGATGAGAACTGAGAAAAGCATGTCTGTGATCTGTGAAGGAAGCATTTTTTGACCCTGTTTCTATGAATTCACAGCTATCTGGCTCCATCTCCCTTTTATTCCTGCTTCTGAATATTGAATAAATCAGTCTGTGGTCTTGGAGGAAGAGGCAGCATTCTCCATAAGCCTTCTGGGGGCAAAAAACAAATAAACAAACAAACAAACCACACAAACAAACAAACAAAAATCTGCTGTTCCCATACTGCAGATGCCACTATAGGTGTCTGTCAGCAGTCGTTAAAGCAAGTGGAGTTTCTCCTTGGATTTTCTGGGTTCCTGTCTCCCTCCCCATATGTGTGCCATGTCTAGTGACGGGTCAACACACTGATGTCTTGTGCTCCTTCAGGATTAAACATCTGTAAGCAGAGAGCGGAACTTGCCTCGTTTTGGTATCGTTTTTGTAGCAGCCATGCTATGATTGAAGACTTTTTTTTTTTTTTGTTATTCCTTTGATTAATTTTGCTGTTATGACATGCTTTTTGAGTTGTCAGTGAACCTGCTGTGTTTCTGTGCTGTATCCCTCAGAACTTCTGTCATACACATGGTGTTTGGGTCCAGAGCACAAACCCAGATGGACTGAGGAGGGGTTAAAGCTCATCGCAGAGGGATGTGTCTGGGGAAGGTGGAAGTGATGAAGGCTGGCAGATAGCCAGTAGACAGAAAGGGAGCTGCACTATTTTGAGGAATTGAGTGTTGTTCTCATGGCCGCTGGGGAGAAGTGCAATGAGGTGCTGAGGCTCATACATGTGTCAGCATGAACGCCCAAAGCTGCTGGCCCTGTGGGCTCCAGCACAAGTGTGTGGGAGATGGGAGAAAGTACATCCTGTCTTCTTTCAAATTACCTACAGCACTTAAATACAGAAGGAAAAAAAGTGCTCTAAGCCCTCTTTGCCTTTTTTGATCTCTACCCTGAAGGAATAAAGCATTGGTCTGAGTGGAGTGTTAAATGCTGTTATGAGAACGTTCTTGTGTGTACCTACCTTGACAGATCTGTTCAATGTGCTACGTGGTGAAGTATGTTGCTCGTGCTGTCACTGAAGCTTCAACATCAAGAAGGGATTTAGTTATAAAAAGATTAAGCTGCAGAAGTGATTCTGCTTTAGGTCACAAATGAGGTTTGAAGTATGGGCAGGGAAGCTCCTGGGTCAGTGCCCTGGCAGGCATGCGGCTGAGTGCACCAATGTCTTACTGTGTCTTCAGCTCTCCTGTTTCCCTGTGGCTCAGTCTCATGGGTTTGGTTTTGTTTTTCCTCAAGCAGGACCTGTTCCTTTGATTTTTCTTTAAAGTTACTGACTCACCTATGGGAACTTTAAAACAACTAATTCATTCCCTTCCTAGCACTTGTAAGAATATTTCTGAATTAACCCCATGATCATCTGCGGACAAGTGAGATGTTTGCTGAATTTTGGATTTGCTTAAGTACTATGCATGCTACTAAAAAGTCCTTCAAGCTTTTTCTGTTTTGACTGGATGGGAAAGTGGTTTTCCTCTGCTTTGGGCAGCTTCAGATCTAGAAACTCAAATATAACTCTCTACTTTTCTCATTCATGTCATGACAGTGATGTCCTCTGTCCCTGACACATCAGGCTGCAGGGGCTCTCCCTTGCAGCTGGTGGCTGCAGCATGTGTAGCAGCTCTTGCTCCTTGGCTGTATCCCAAGGATGCTTGGGCCATGGGCTGCGTGGCTTGTCCTGTTGGGCACCCCACCTTAGTGCTCAGGAGCCGAATCCATTTGGGTTTGCCTATTCTCTGGCTTGTGCATGGTCTCATTGTTCTAGTTCCATGCAGCCAAGTTGAAAGTTCAGACTGGGCATTTAAGATTGTTTTATTAGAAATTACCTTCTCAGAGTAGGTGTGTTAATTGCAATGAAGGTGTTCCCAAAGGTTGGAGAGACAGGGGAAACACCAAGCTTCCCAAAGAAAACAAAAAAGGTGTTAGGGGTCTTTTTGGGAAGTTTGCTACAGTATATCTGGTAAAATGACAAGTCTGCATGTAAATTAAGGTCCTGCATTACAAAAGACCTTACAGGAATAATTTTCATTCTGTTATTGTCTTTGACTGTGAAGAAAAAAATCCATATGAAATCTAAATATATGTAGTCTAAATAGGATCCTGGTGCACCTCCAGGGTCCTTGCAGTCCTGTCATGATGAACTTCAAGGTGCATCCTTTTCCTTACGCCCTTGTTCCCCAGGAGAACAGGCACGTTGTCCACCCCAGCATTGAAACTTAGCTCTTGTCTGAACAGATGAACCTACATAGTGCATGGAACTGCATACATCTTCTAAATTGCTCTTTGTTTTCAGACAAACATTGGACAACAGAAGTCAGCCCAGCTAACCTAAGTCAGGGGAATAATTATGCATATATTTAAAATAAATTCCATGTTTAGCTTTCTGCTGAGTCAAGGCCTCATAAGTGGATCCGTAGCTGCTAGAAGCTGTTGATGCTGTACTCGATTCCGAGGAGAGACAGCAGCTATGACTCTGCATGTAACCATTTGGGAAGGTTAACAAAATGCATGATTCTTAAGTTTTTTTTAAAAGCATCAAGTAATTAACTTAAAATATAACAATGTAGTTGTAAAATCTGGAGTGCGTGTTGGCTTTGTTTTCTGTATTTCAGCTTGGCTATTAGTGATTAACTAGAGAGGTTTCCCTTCTGCCTATAACATGACTGGTAGGTTTCATTTTCAGGTTCTTCATGTGACAGCGTGTGTGAGCTTTGAGGAAAATGTTTAAATCCAGGTGGATTTATGAAAAGGAGTTATACGTATTGCTGCCAATAATACAAAACATGTTAATGTAGAAACTGAGTTTTATCTCTAAGCTATTCATAGACATTTCTGCAGAGTGCCCTTAACATTCAATAAAACATTTCATCTTGTCTCCCATCAATGTAGAGTACCTAAACTCTCAACTTCTACTTTTGAGTATGCAGCAGTTTTGGAATATATTCTTACTTCTAATGAATTTGAGAGAGTAGAACAGGATTATTAGTTTACTGTAATACTGCCAAAAGTGCTTTTTCTTCCCCTCCTACCATTTACCAAAGATGACCTGTTTGTGTTTTAGAACCTTTGCAGCTGTTTTTGTTTTTCACTCTGGTCTGAAACTCTTAATATTGTTATACTCCTCGCAAGGGTGATTGTGCAAACCCCATGACTCTTAACCAAAAAACGTAAAGCTCTTCAACTTAATTATAACCCAAGAACAGCTCCATTCTTAAAGCAAAAGCTGACCTTCTCATTCAAGGACTTTGCATTCTTTCTGTGCTTAGAACTTGTCCTGTCCGGAGCGGCAGGCTGGGGAGGGAGGACCCCTGGCCAGACCCTTTGCCTGCCAGGAGACAGCTTCCCTCCTCTAAACTGATCAAGTGTGGCACGATGACTGAAGTGAGAGCCAGGACTCGCTGTAGAGTCAGTATGGTGCTGCTCAGAAGGAGGGAGCCTGATGAGCCATTTGTACTTACCTGTTGCCCACAAAAAAATCCTGTGTGGATGAGGCCGTGGTGCCTGTGGGGTTTTGGGGTGGTTTTTTTTTTTTTTTTTTTTCCTCCCCTGTCTCCCGCTTTGGAAGCTTACAATGTAAGCACCACGTTATAAAAATGCAGTGAAGACATGTTGCAA